CCTCCTGCCTGGAAGCCACCCCTGCACAGCCTCGTCTCCACGAGCAATTACATCAACACTTACAGCCTGGCCAACGTGAAGGCACCGTCCCCGCGTTCCCTGATGTCACCCCTTGGCCCCGCGCGCAGCCAGCGCTGGCACCGGCGGGGCTCACGCTCGCTCCCACAACACGCAGCTGCTTTCCATGGCTCTTCGGGGTGGAACTGATTTTTTTTTTTCCCCCCCTTCTTTAGCTCGCAGCAGGGTACCCTCTCCTTGTGCCAAGCCTGTGTGCGAGGTGCTGCCTCCCTTGGCTCCGCGCAGGGGCTGGCTGTGAGAACAAGTGCCCTGGGGTAGGTTTCTCCCAGGGGAATGGTTTCTCAGCACAAACCAAGCAGCCGCTGAAGTGGCTTTTCAGGAAACTGATAAAAATAGCCCGTAACAGTCCTTACAAGTGTAAGGGCAGGGGCTGCGGCATCCCTGCACGCTGGATGGAGAGGGTGAGCTGAGCTATGGGGGGCTTGGTCTATGTTCCCACCAGCACTGGGCAGGTCCAGTACAGCCCAGCAGGACCCCCCTGGGACCATCTCCCCTCCAGCTAGAGGTTGCTGCCAGGCATGGAGAAAAGGTACCTGAACTGCTGAGTCCTGGCAAACGATTCCTTCCAAGCATTTGGGGTGGCGAGGGGGAGCTCATGCCACAGCCTGGGGTTGGAGGGAGACACGAGGGTGATGAACAGCTCCAGCTACTGCAAGAAGTGGCCTTTGCAGCCCAGAAACCAACCCCATCCTGGGCTGCATCCAGAGCAGTGTGGCCTGCAGGTTGAGGGAGGGGGTTCTCCCCCTCTGCTCTGCTCTCATGAGCCCCCACCTGGAGTGCTGCATCCAGCTGTGGAGCCCCCAACATCAGAAGGATATAGCCGGGTTGGAGCGAGTCCAGAGGAGGCCACGAAGAGGCTCAGAGGGCTGGAGCCCCTCTGCTGTGGGGACAGGCTGAGAGAGTGGGGCTTGTTCAGCCTGGAGAAGAGAAGGCGCTGGGGAGACCTTATAGCACCTTCCAGTGCCTGAAGGGGCTACACGGGAGCTGGGGGAGACGTTTTACAAGGGCCTGTAGTGACAGGACAAGGGCTAACGGGTTTAAACTGAAAGAGGGTGGATTTAGATTAGATATCAGGAAGAAGTTCTTCCCGGAGAGGGTGGTGAGGCACTGGGACAGGTTGCCCAGAGAAGCTGTGGATGCCCCATCCCTGGAAGGGTTCAAGGCCAGGCTGGATGAGGCTTGGAGCAACCTGGTCTAGTGGAAGGGGTCCCTGCCCATGGCAGGGGGGGTGGAACTAGACAGGCTTTAAGGTCCCTTCCAACCCAAACCATTCTGTGACTATGAACAACAGCTCTGAGGCAGTTTAGAAAAAATAAAAACAAGCCAACATTTATTTCCCCAGTGAGTTCATCCCGTTAGGACACTGAGACAGTCCCCAGTGTTTTCAGGCATGCAAAGGTGTTGGCACACTGGGATTTAGCTACTCCTGCGACCAAACTGAGCCACACTCCAGGGAGCAGCCCCAAACCCAATGTCATCCATCACAACCTGAGTGAAACAACCACTGCTCACTTGCAAGCCTAATGCCTTTTCTTTCATTCCTGTGGCCTGACAATAAACACACTGACAAGAACAGGCTCCAAGCTGGCATCATCCTTTTAGCGTCCTGATGCCCTGAGAACACAGGAGGGGGGAGTCAGCAGCACAGGGAGTCAGACAGGTTGCAGCAGGTGGGGAATTTGTGCTAAACAAAAGCAACTGGAGCTGCAGGCTTTGGTAGGCCTTGGGCAGAAGGCAGGCAAACCGCCCCGAGCACATGCCCAGCCCCGTTCCTCCCTGTCACCCAGCTGTGTGCTACTGCTCATGATGTAGGTTCCTCCTAGTTACGCAAAATCCACTGCTAAGAACTAGCCTGGACCAAGAGAAGGCAGCCAGCTTCCTACAGCAGAGACCTTCAGCCTCCTGCGGTCTCAAGGGAAGGAGACCACGAGCCAAGCTGACACAGTGTTTGAGTTCCCTAGGCCCAGCGGCCTCCGTTGCGCCGGCAGTGCCCCGATTTCAGGGCACGGGGCTGGGCAGGCACTTAATTCTCCTTAACAAGCACTACCTTCCTGTAAGAGCAACCTGTTCTGGTGTGAGCGACAGCAGAGAGCAACCAGACCACCCCCTGAGGCCGTGTACAGAGGGGTTTATCCCTTAGACAAATAATCACTTTTTACCCATCTTCTGTGTTTCTTTGGCAAACTTTTAACAGGTTCCTAGGAGGCTGACCAGGCATGGCTCAGCGGAAAGGGAATGCTCCCTAAGCTATCAGACCTCTCCTGCCTCAGCAGCAGTATTTTCTCTTTGGTGTCCTAAAATATTTAGTGAAGCTGCATCTTGGTCTCCACCCCCAAAAACAATCAGACCGTTCCTTCTTCCCACAAGGAAGAACTCCAGAAAGGATCCTCACACTCGACACACCTTAATCTGTGGCTTAGAAAATAAATAGGATTTAGGATCGTATAGCATCTGGCCAGGATCAAAACTTTAGGTTCCTCCCCCCGCCCACCCCCTTGCGAATCAAGAGTCGCTTAGTAAGGTCCCAGACTTGCTCAGGGCGTGCTCCCTTCTCCCTGCTCCTCCTCAGTCATACTGCAGCAGAGAGTAGAAAGGGATGGAGTTGAGCTTTTCCGAACCTTTCAGGAGTTTTAACTCTATGATCACCAGGCACTCCAGGACCTCAGCCTGCAGCCTCTTCATCAGCTCACAGGCTGCACACATGGTACCTGCACGACACAGAGGTGGAGCAGAAACATCGTCACTCGAGGAGCAGTGCCCTTCAAACCCCACAGCTGCTCCCAACACACACATACGGGGGTTACGCGTGCTCCAACACCGTCTCCTTCTCACCTCCAGTTGCAAGCAAGTCATCCACAATAACTACTTTTTGTCCTGGTTCCACAGCATCACTCTGGATTTCAAGTTCAGCCTGCAGGGTGGAAAGAGCAGCTTCGTGTTAGTCCTGCCTTACAGAGAAACACTTCACAGGCTGCTAACACATGGTGGAGCGCAAGTCTTCAGCGAGATCGACCTTAACACTCAGCACCTAAAATCCCCAAAAACCCACATACTCCAGCTACAAGGGAGTGCCACGGAAATATATAGCGGGTTAGGTGATTGCTGGGCCAACCCTCCGGCACGTCAAGATCCTGAACATTCATCAAGTGAGTTATAGTCCCATCGTGAAACCTTATCCCGAAGGAGTTCTCCAGTGGGGAAAATCTCCTGTGACGCAGTGGGCTGGAGTGCTTTGCCTTGGCAGATCCAAACTGACACAGGCACATCCCGTGTCAGATGAACTCATCCCAGGCGGGGGTTGGCCCAAACAGTCCTCATAAATAACGCTGAGGTTTGGTGTTTCTGCTGCTGGTGCCTGGCTGCCGTTAGTTACCGGCGGTAGCGTGTTATTAGGCTGACACCTCTGCTTTTTAATCAGAGAGGCTGCGGTGTTACGAGGTGAGCACTCTGTTTTGAAGCCATGCAATAAAGGCATTTACTTATAGCACTTACTGGAAGAGAGGGAAACACACTCCGTGCTCATGCCCCTGCCAAAGAAAGCATTTTAGCACCAAATCTTATCATCCCCCCAGTCAAAAATCACAGCGCGGCTCACCGACACAAACTGCGCGGCCGTGGCTCCGGGAGGGAAATGCCATGCCGGGGGCATGGGGATGCTCAGCGCCGCTCCTGAAGCTTGTGCTGTGCCACACTGCCCGCGGCACCCGCACCGGCTGCGAAACCCAGCTCGGGGACCCCCTCTTGCTGGTTTTATCACCCCAGCCCCTTGCCCACAGCCCCTGGCCCTGCATCAACCCGCCTGGAAACCCACTTCTCCTCCCTGGATATTACCTTGCCATACTCAAGGGCATAGGAGATTGACTCAGTTGGACCGGGAAGCTTCCCCTTTTTCCGTATGAGCACGAAGCCGATCCCCAGTCTCTGGGCCAGAGGGGGGCCTATGAGGAAGCCGCGGGAGTCCAGGCCTGGGGGGAGCAGAGCAGCACGAATACTCAGAACAAAGCCAGCTGACTCAGGGTGCCTTTGCATGATACCCCAGGTTTATCCTCCTGTGTTCAGGGGACATCTCTAGAAGCAATGTGCTCTTACAGTCATTTTTTGGGTTAGAAACACAGAGCATGCTCCTGCACTGCCAGTGTTCACCAAAAAATGCTGCAAACGGGCTTCAGGGCATCACATCGTAGAATCACAGACTGGTTGGAAGGGACCTTGAAGACCACCTAGTTCCAACCTCCTGCCATGGGCAGGGACACCTTCCACTAGACCAGGTTGCTCCAAGCCTCATCCAGCCTGGCCTTGGACACTTCCAGGGATGGGGCATCCACAGCTTCTCTGGGCAACCTGTGCCAGTGCCTCACCACTCTCTCCAGGAAGAATTTCTTCCTGATGTCCAATCTAAATCCACCCTCTTTCAGTTTAAACCCACTACCCCTTGTCCTGTCACTACATGCCCCTGTAAAAATTCCCCCCCCAGCTTCCTTGTAGCCCCTTCAGGCACTGGAAGGTGCTAAAAGGTCTCCCCGGAGCCTTCTCTTCTCCAGGCTGAACAAGCCCAACTCTCTCAGCCTGTCCCCATAGCAGAGGGGCTCCAGCCCTCAAAGCATCTCTGTTGCCTCCTCTGGACTCACTCCAACAGGTCAATTCCCCCCCCTCAGCCCATTTTGCCTCCTCTCCAGTTCTCCTCAGAGATAAGCTCAGCTAAGCCCCACTATCAGTTGAGCCACACAACCAGGGACTTTGCACCACCGAGGGACAGACTTCGGTTATCGTGGGGCACTTGGACGAGGTTTGGTCTAGACTCCCTGAACTTTGGGCTATCGCCCAGCCCAAGCACTACCTTCCCAGGCACTTCCACTCCCAGCCCCTTTCATATGTGTGCTGCAACGCGTTATCACCCAAAGGCTGTTTCTGTTGGCTTGAAAAGGCCCCCCGAGAAGGAAAACATGCTGGAACAGGGTCTGCCTGCCATGGGGACCGCACGAGGCCTTATAGGCACGGCGCAGCAGGCTCTCAGTACTCCCTCAAGGATTGTTTTTGTAATGATGAAAGCAATCAATTACGAAATTGGCACTGAATTGGCACAGTCGGCGTCTGCTGCATGCCAAACCAGTATTTCAGGAAATAACAGGAGCAGGTGAAGGGTATAACCTGTCCTGGTGTTACGGAATGATCGAGGTCAACATTCGGGTGATTATAAGGTCCAAGGGCTACGGCATGTGCTGCCCCATGAGCAGAGGAGCCTCCCCATGCCTCCCGCCCGGGCAGCCTGAGGATGCTCGAACCAACGCTCACCTGCGATGAAGTCGATTTTGGGGAAAGATGCCCTCAAATGGTCTTCCAGGAGATCAATCAGTGTCCTGAAAGCAGCAGGATCCTTCAGCAAGGGGCTGATATCGCTGCAACAAGAGGGAGAGCCAGTGAGTTACCTCTGCTCCGGCCCGGGAGCGCATCCCCCGAGGGGCAGCG